GGGGGGGGGGGGTTCCTACATGCCTCGGTGTTATGTGATTATTATTCATGAATTGAAGCGCGCTCCAATTTCACAAGGCAGCTGAGTGGATCAGTTGTACGAAATCCAGGTCGATTGCGCTAACATACGAACTCGATTGAACCCATGCATCCCAGCCTGTGTCCATTTTGTCTCAAGCGATTAGCAGAACGATGCACCCTATCGACCTGAAACTACAAACCTCCGTTTTGATTCAGACTATTTCCAAGTGCATAATCTGTGAATCGGTGTCCATACCGATTTGGAAGAAAGGCGACAGGTCATCTGGTAAAAACCCTGGAGAAATTAGCTCAGGTAAGATCGTATCGGAACGTCTCGTTGGTATCCTACTCCGTGGATTGTCTGCCGCACGCGTGAGAACCAGGTTTGGTTTTAGACCTCGCCGAGGCTGTATTGACCACATCTTCACTCTTCATCCCAGTGCACTGCAGCTGGTGTTCGTTATGATCGCCCTCTTTCTGTTTCGATTTAATTCTTGAAGCAACCCTATCCTCGTGCGGAGATAGCGGCATCGACTTGCTATCAGGTGGCAGAATATCTTATCTGGAGTATGCAGACGATATTGGGCTACCGAGTGAAGATCCAGGTAAGTTTCAAGCCTCCTCCATAGTTTGAGTGCTAGTGTATCCATGTTTGGGACCTTCAAAGTGTAAAATGTTGCTACAGGATTGGGTTGGTCCAACTCCCAATCTCACCTGGACTACGGAACTAAATAAATTTTGCTATCTGGGCAGCTATGTCTCACTTGGAGAACGCATCACAGATGAAGTGTCGGCGCGCATACAAATGGCTTAGTTGGTATTTGCCAGCTTGATACATCTGTGATGACACCGCCGCGGCATCCAACTGTCCGTGAAGGGTGGAGTGTATCTTGCGGCAGTTCTGCTATACGGTGCAGAGACTTGGCCATTACGGGAACAAGATAAAAATAGATTACCGTTGTCTGAACATCGCTGTCTACGTCGCATTACGTGAGTCTGGTGGGGAAGCCGGACGAGCCGTGCTGAGATGAGGGTGTAGGGTGTTAGGTTATCGACCTCCATAGATTACGATGGTTGGAACATATGTTACGCATGTCACCAGATAGGTTGCTACGTCGAGCGATGTTTGCCAAGGCAGGTAGCAAATAGGAAATGATCTAAGGTGGTCAAACTCAAATTTTCCCTCAGGATATGAAAACCCTAACCAGGAGATTGGATCACATAGGTCCCGTTAGGCTCCCTGGATTATGGTAACCGGTGGTTAGAGACACACAGTGATGTAGCTGTGTGGCTCTCGTGTATCTACTCACTATTCTTGCGACCGCAGTTTATTTACATTCCCTATCTGCCCCCCCCGGAATTTGCTCGCAATATCCTAATTTTCATTCTGCTGTTTTATCCCAATAGGCGCACGAAAGTGCATGAATAATGGTTTTTAAAACTGAAGCTTACAATTGAAGATCGAAACTCGTCTCAATTGATTAAGGAACGGAAGCATGACACAGCACTGGAACGTTATTTCTGCGTTCCAACTCACCCTCGACACACTTGCCATTGCGAGTCACCATTCCCCCTGACTGCCTACTCGATTCGGCCATCCTCTTGTCTCCTGACACTGAACGGTGCTTGGGTGTCACATCTGATACGGTCGACCAAATCGGTTCGCGTTAGGAAGAATACCGACAACTAAGCCTAGCACCGCTTCATGTAGTGCGTAGACCTCTTAAATGGATGTAGGGGCAATAATCTTACTTCCGCCTGTAACTGCTCTACAGCGCTTTGTTTAAATTTTACTCCCTTTTCCCTTCAGTTATCATGAGTCTATGCCCAGGGCCTGAGAGAGTATTTAAACCGAACCCATACATTCAATGGCCCTCTCGTTTTGAGTACACGTTCCGTTATTCTCACTTTTGTAGCTAGGGAGAACGCTACCAGTGCTACTGTGAGTACTTTAGTATGTTAGACTTGTTGCATCAACACGGCACGTCTAACTTGAACGTTCCCAGTGTCCCATCTAACAAAGTCTACGCATTCAAGCGTATTAGGTATAGGTCTGTAAATAAAAACGACATCGTTCTGCGATTTGGCAGCGACCAGTGAAGTTCACTTCACTGTATTACGCTGTACAATGATGATGTTCTGCGAGCCAGATGTATTTTGTTTGACGTTACAGCAAGCACCAAGGTACTCCATACACGTGAACATTTCGCATTAAATTTCCTGAATGAGGACCTCAAGATAAGCTGATTAAAGACAGACAGTTTCGTGAGCCATAACACTCGTGCGTCTACTCACCTTTTTGTGCAATTCAGTTTGATTGTGTTGTGCATCTTTACCTTACAACTGCTTCTAGTTTTCTACTCCCCTCATTCGCTCATCTGAATGGGCAGCCAAAACCGTGGCGCGAAAATGAAAGGTCAACGGTTTCGTGTTCTGAGCGATAATCATCTTGAAACTGGACGAAATCATGTGTATTGAGGTGAAACAAAATGGTAGACCACAATGGGACGGAACAGAAAGACAGATGAGAGTGGGTTTAGCAGATGGAATGGTGAGGGAGAAGTGGGAAACCATAAGCACAATTTAGTGACTAGTTGGCTGGGTTTTCCACCATCTTCCGGGAGGACTGAGATTTTCGGAATTGTGCGAAGACCTTATCAAGTTTGGATAGAAACACATCCAACTCTTCGGCAGTCTGTCCGATCGCTGCGGCCGCATTCAAGTAAGCAAACCGAGATTTGGAACTGTGTGAGCCAAATCCTGGGAAAGCGTAACCGCCAAGGGATTGCACGTCCGCTACTGTGGCCGGAAGTACGACACTGAAAGTGGCACAAATCTGAGAGTGCAAATTTATCGTCTAAAACGGTGTTTGTGCATTGGCATCACACTGCAACTTCGTTCAACGCAAATGACAGAACACAATGTAGGCGAACATATGTTTCCAGTGAATTTCTTTTAAGCCTTTACAATCACATTTATAGGAAACAATTTCAATACGGTCAAACAGAATAAGTGGATAGGTCATGTGTTTGGCAGTGAGCCCACAAGAACTCCAAATCCGTGAATTGTTTGGATCACATAACAAAATTCGTTACGTCACGGTCGTGTGAACAACTGATTTTCTCCTCCCCTGGCCAGAGGAGTTTGAGAGCTTGAATCAATTTGCGTTGTGCGCGCAGCTCGGCCTTCATGAGTCGGATGCTAATCGCCTCTGTGGTTGTTATTGCTCTCGAGGAAGGTGGTGAGATTCGATAAATGATTGTAAATGCCGAGCGCATGTCAACCAAGTGTCCCGTCTCTACCAGATGAGCAACGATCGAGCTTGACAGAGTTCCACTCTCACCCTGTGTGAGCCATCGTGGATTGTGTTCCTTGATTCGTCGAAATAACAAAAACGAAAGAGGCCAACAAAACAATATGCTGTCAACTGAGATGCCCTTAACTCAGAACGATGCTTTTTCTTACTAAAATGCGATGCTGCTCCTACTCTACACGTCGAGCTCAATCACTTGCCAATTTTGAAGCAGAAGGTGAACAGGAATCGAATGAACCAGATGCTCCTCCTCCGGTTGGTTGTGAACTCGGAAACAGCTTTTTACAACCAAATGCCAAGGCCACTGAGTGTTGTAAACAGTAGTGATCGTGCATCTTCTCAATTTCCTCTTTCATCCTACTTCCATCTTTTCTTTATTTCTCCTAATGTACATCCAAATGGGTAGCCAACCAAAACCGGTGCACGAAAGTACATGTGGTTTATGATTGTACAAACTGAACTGATTCGTCAAGGCTAATCGTTGCTAGTCCAGTTGTATTACGAACCTTTCAATAGTGATCACGGGGGAGAGGGGAAGGAAACACGGATTACGCAACTGTGAGTTCACCCTCCCATATCGTGCTAATCATTTCAGCAAAGGTATACTAAATGATGTTGCCCGGGGTTACCGACTGCAGTACTCGAAACGAGCTAGGGTGCAAAGGTACTCACATTTGAATGAAGGAAAAAGAAGACAATAAAGTTGAAAGTGGAGTCGAACAAAAAATGGAGCATTTCAGTGGTCTAAGGTTGCGAAGACATCCAGAATATGCACGAACACAACTGTTTACGACACGCAGCCATATCACTCAGTGTCCCTCACCATCGGTTACGATCATCTCGAAGTCTCAAGACAGGGAGGGAGCCTAACGGGATCTATGTGACCCAGTCTCATGGTTAGGGATTTCATACTCTTGTGTCAGGTGTTAGGTTGACCACCCTTGGCTTTTTTCCACTCACTAACTGCCTCGGCGAACATCGCTCGCTATGGCAACCTATCTGGTGGCATGTGTAACACAGGCCCCAACCAACATAATCTATAGAGGTCGACCACTTGCTCCAGTGGATGACCGCGACTGCCCAAAACTCTACGCCTAACCTCAGCATTGCCAGTTAGGTTACTCCACCAGACTCGTGCAAAGAGGTGTAGGCAGCGGTGTTCGAACACCGACAATCTATTTTTGTTGTTTCCGTAATGGCCAAGTCGCTGCACCGTGGAGCAGGACTGGCCGAACTGCTGCCGCATATACTCGACCCTTCACAGACAGTCCGATGTCGCGACGGCGCCACAGATGTCTCAAGTTGGCAAATGCCAAACGAGCCTTCTGTAGGCCAGCAGATATTTCATCCGTAATGCGTCCACCGGGTGAGATGTCGCTGCCCAAATAACAAAACTTATCTACCTGCTCTATTACTTCCCCAGTTAGAATGAGCATGGGTGCTGGACCAACTCAGTCTTGTAATAACATTTTACACTTTGAAGATGCGAAACGCACACCGAACATGACTGTGCTGGCGCTCAAGCTGTTCAGAAAAGCTTGCAACTTACCAGGTTTACAAATATACGTTGAGGGGGTAGGAGAATACGAACGAAAAACAATCCATGCACACACACACAAGCGGATGCTTCAAAATCGACCGGAATGTGGAAAATAAAAAAAGATTTTCTGACTCTACGCAGCTAATCCGTAATGCTACATCCCGTTATATGAATCACTCAAACAACACAGTGAATTTTTACCTCGGTTTAGAACGAATTCGTTACTTGCGGTGGTCAGATGCTCATCAGGAACACGAAAGTCAGAGTTGGAACATTCATTTCGTGACATCAAGTGGACCAGCGATTGGCGAATCGGCATTGGAACTATTCCCTTTCTCCCCAGGACATATACTTGAGGAGGAGGAGGAACAGGACTTTGGGCACTGGAATCCAGACGCGACCGAATTTTCTCAATCTGTATTGATTTTCGGCTGGACCAATGAGTTGGTTCTTCTGGAACGCCGCCAACAAACAATGAACAAGGTTCACATAATTGCATGCCCGTTTTGTCGAACAACCATCCATTTTTGTGTGCGGAAAATTGGGTAAACGCTCATCTGAGGAGGTAAACCACCTAATGAAGTTACCGCAATTTTCATACTGTTGTGATGAGGTTTACAAGATCGTGATGGGTTGTTAATGAGAAATGCATTGCTCGGGCTTGACGACAAACCAACGGTCAACAATTTGTCCCAGAGTGCGGTTCTCAAGCCAAGTCAAGTCAAAAAACGCTGTGAAGAGGATTGTGCTTCCCACCAACATCACAATCTGCAGTATTCAAGTCCACAACGNACGTGCTTGTGGATATATATATATATATATATATATATATTTCACACACGTCTGATACCAGACTGTTTGCCTAACAAATCGTGGTACAATAATCTTTATAAAAAAGAAAAATGTTCCACGATTTGCAAGTGGGCCGAATACGGCCAGGTTGTCCAGGCCAAGGCAGGTGAATTCACAACTGGAGCCTTCGGCTAGCCAAAGCCTGACCCGCAAGGTAGCAGGGCGGTGTGCAAAAACCGCAATCCATTGGGAGCCGGTATCCAGTTCATACGCCTTTCGGAAGGGGTCAAAGGTCCAATGGTGCCCAATACACCTCGATGCTTGTGAAAAAAGCCGGCGTTAACGGCTTTATTTTAGAGCGAATCTAACACCGAACTTGTTTGGGAAACGAAGTCCTCAAAAACGAATATATATACCGGAATCCAGAANATCCAGAAAGAGGGTGAAAACTGTTAACGACGCTTTGGATTCCAGTATACTCAAATGGATCGCGCTTGGAAAGCCGGTCGATGCTGACAATTTTTTTAGTCGTGTTTTGTGTCGTTTTCGAATTGTTTCTCCCAAGTGTGAACAAATTTATTCGTCAGCGATGATTTTCGCTCTAGGAGGCGGAGGGAGTGGGTGGGATGGAGCATTATACGGTTCTTAGCAATTTGTTTTCACATAAAAACTTACCGTACACCAGAACAGCCCTGTGTGAATAGTTGTGCGCCCAGTTGGGTCAGGGAGCGAAGGTCGTTCACCGAGTCGGACCGATCCGGAAGCGAACTGTCCGAGTTGGCGTCCACCGAACCACGGCACAACTCATTCAAACTGA